GACATCATACATCCACAGCATATCCAACATTGACTTGCCACACATCAATCCCTATGAAATCAGCTCTCAAACCACTCTCCCGGTAGCGGATTCTCAACCACAACCCAAACAAGCTAAGCACTCTTCCAGGTACTCTCAACATCATACATCTCTCCAGGTCACCAGCACCTACAAAGGACCCCACCCACCTGACATCAAACAACGCCCAGTATCAAGAATTCCTCCACCTCCATCACCACAACCATCAACATCGGCAACCAAACCACCATACCAATCACCGTCCTCACAATCCTCCCTTTCTACTCAAGATTCAATATCCGCTGTTTCCCAGGAATCACCCTCTAATTTTCCTACTCCATCTTCTGATGTGGGTGAAAACCATTCACCACCCCCATCAAAAGATTTCACATCTTCCCTCTAGCTTGTCATGTGAATGGCAAGGTCTTTACAACTCAATATCGAAGAACCACCACCTCAAAAGAAAGACCTGGTCTTCTATGATCTCAGTCAGGATAAAACACCACCCTCTAGCTTGAGTTTCATCCCTCTATGCTCAATTTAATAAAAGAATAATAGGACAAACCCCCTTCCTCACGTCAAATTTCGAGATACATTGAAAATCATTACAAAACTCACGGTCCGGACACTGCTTTTCTCTAAACATCCCACACCAAACTCTGTTGTGGAATCAAATCAGTCAAGAGCACATGGTGCTTCGACTTGCGACCATTCGAGTTATGACCAGAGTTCCGGAGCCAATTAAGTTCGTAAGTCTAGGCACCACTGTACTAGGCCAAATGGACCAAGAATCTCTCTCATTTTATTGCTTATTTTGAGAAAGCTTATTAGCCCTAGTGATTAAGGAGTCCAAGATGTTTTTCTCTGATAAATCTAAAATCTAAATCACTGCATATGGTGCAAGGTCTTTTCTACTTTGAGAGACAGATAGCTGCCTGAGAAAGACAACTGGTATTTCAGGCCTGATTGAGCTATGAACGACATGGTGCCTTCATGCTTCCTGATGTCTGCGCCCCAGGATAAAATGAGGCTTGGAGGGTGACTGTGTAGTGCAGATGGATAACCCATGAAACGACATATTTTTCATAGAAGGAAACCATGGTGGAACTTCTACATTGTCAGTCCACTCAGTGCTGCACCCTTCTTCTAATAGAAACTACCAGTTGTTCCAGATCAATAGTGTGGGATAAGGACAGCTAGATGGAAATTCACCTGTAATGCCAAGTTTTACTTTCAAATATAAATCAAAATAATAGAAATGATTGGTTTGTGTGTAAAATAAACAGCAAGCTGGTGATTATTCTAAATGGGTGGGTAAATATGTTTTATCTAAAAATAGGCAAGCTGTTCTGTCTTAGCGTTGAAAATTTTGAAGTGAGATTTGTTGATTGCAGCTGTACTGTCAATGCTTTTTAGAACAGATGACACAGCCTGCTGGATTTTGGCTTATTCTGAGGAATTCATAGATTTTCCATATTATTTGACTAGAACAGTGGGTTATATGTTTTCAGCGGTGCCATCACATTAATGTGAGCAAGTAGGTTCATAGTTCTGTCTCTGCCAGCAGTTTTTGCCTTAAGAAATAATCTTATAATCCTTTGGCTAGGCAGCAGTAGGCTAAATTTGGAGTCTGTATTGTTGATCTGAGCATCTGTGGATGCATGTGATCTAATGCATGCTGTAGATACAATTTCTGGTTTACTTGGAACCTCCAGCTGGAAATGTATTGTGCAAAACCATCTAGACTGAATTTTATAACACAGAAAGATTATGTAACTTTGAAGTTACAGTCTCATTCTGGTTGCATTTGTTCATTCTATAAAATAGAAATATCTACCAGAGTGGTGAAAGGCACTCACTCTGATTAGGGTGGAGATTTAAAGCTAAAATTTTAGAAGGTGAATGTCTTTCAGTGGATTGAGGATTTCTCTGTCCTGATCAAAAGTGTGTGCATACAGTACCTAGTGATTTGAGAGCCCACTTATGAAAGTTGAATTTTGTAATGGATCAAAAAACTACGATAGATAGTATGATAGAATTTGCATGAATGCAGAAGTTGTCCACTGTTTGCATCAATCCTTCGTATATTAAAGAAACTTATACATACTGAAGGAAAACCCAAGAGCATGAATTTATACATGGTGAAATACAAAAACTAAGGATTACATGGAAAATAAGATTGATATTGTTGTAGATTATATCAAATCATAGTCATATTCAGTGAAGTATATTGGTCCGTAATAAATCAAATAAAAATTAGAATAGTTCTTTGGTCTGTAAACAGCAGGATTGAAAAAATCCAAAAGCCCAAATCCTCTTGATATAGTTATACTGGTGTAACACAAATAGCATAACTTTTGGTGGCGATTTCCTCCAAGTTAAGAAATCACAATAGACATTATCTATTACATAATGAGCTGCGTATCTCAGTGTGCAACTGATAAAGTCTTAGCTGATTTCTTAATTTGGGGCAATTTGCCATTTGCATAGTCGTGCAGGAGGATTCGGGCCAAAGTGAAATAAAATGGAATGTTCATAAACCAACATTCAAGAGTAAACATATAGCACAGTATACTGTAATTCTATTTGCAATCCCATACTAATGTTAGTACCTTTCACATGCACTGAAGGAGCTCAAACCATAGTAATTGAGAAAGACTTGACAAAGGGGAGCAGAAGCCTTGCCTGCATGGCCATCAAAATGAGCAAAGTGTCATCTGTATTACAGCATGTTGCAGGGAGACGAAATACTGAACATAAGAAAGCATGTAAAGCCATACACTTGTTGGTATTGCAGGCACACATTCTCACCTTTGCAAATGACTATCTGCTCTGAGAGATACGAGGCAGCAGAATCGGCATAAAGTGTACTTGAAATGGCTGAAGCATTAAAAGCTTAAATACTTAATTGGACAAAATAAAGATGAGAGAATGGCGCTGTTCCTGTATTGATTTTTAAGAGTAGTAATCTGATTGAAAAGATTGTCAGAAAGCTTAGAAGCTAATCAGATGTAGACCATTAGTCATCATGTTAGTTATTCCTACTACAGAAGATTGGGTTATCTGTCTGTTGCTTGATTTCAAATAAAGTGTTACAGAATGGGGGTTCTTCTCCCCCATGTGTGCATACACACTTACACTTTAGGTAATGTCACTCTTTTGTTGGCTTTCAGGTTTAATGGCCAAGTTTATTAAGTGTCTTAAATTTTAACGTTTGTTGAGCCTTGGGCCAAAGTTGTCCCATTTCTCTGCTTGTTGAATGCGATATCAAGAAATTTGTCCAGCCCTAGGAGTGAAGGAGGTTCATGGCTATGTGGACTTTGTTACATCAGCTGGAGAACCAGTGGGAGAAATGCAACCCATTCTACTGAGGACAGGGCAGAATTAGTTGGTCACTTACTGGGCTACATAACTTTGCAATCTCATTCCTAATTCAGGTGCAGGGATAGACTCCCCTCTATATAATCTACTTTGCTGTGATATGTAATCTAAGGAAGGAAGGGAAAGGAAAGGAAGGTATTCCTAAACAGTAATGATATAATGGTTGTTGTGGATTTTTCGGGCTCTTCGGCCATGTTCTGAAGGTTGTTCTGAGCACAGAGTGCTACTCCTGTCCTCTGAAGATGCGGGCCACAGAGACTGGTGAAACGTTAGGAAGAACAACCTTCTGAACATGGCCAAAGAGCCAGAAAAACCGACAACAACCATTAAATCCCGGCCATGAAAGCCTTCACAAATACAGTACGTAATGATATAATCAGTTGCAGACCAAGCATCTTGTTTGAGGGATTTATGGTGCATGTTGAATCCCAGTTTTGTATCCTGTGCTTCTTTGTCAGAGTTGGGAACAGGGGAGTTTAAGCTGAGGACACACATTTGCAATTGCTTTGTTAAAAAACTAGATGGAACATTGCCTGTTCTGGGCTTGGATGCAGTGCACCCAGTGAGGCCTCTATATGCTTTCTAATCGATGACTGCCTGATGGCATCACATCTAAGCCATGTGTTTCCTTGATGCAATAGATTTGTCTTCTTGTCTGACTTGGGGTTGCATTCTGCCTCTTCCTCCTCCTGGCCACAGAGTATTTTCTTTTGAGTAAGACAAAAATTGCAGATAGAAGTTAAAAGTTATGAAAAAATTACTAAAGGGTTAATTAAAAACTAAGTCTATATGACTTCCTACACATTTGGAAGTCCTTAATATTTATTGAAGTCATGTAAGCACATAGCACTGTGGGTGGAATTGTTACTCAGTTGCCTTAAGATATAGAATCCAGTACAATTGAGCAATGGTATAGTTAGATCTAACTTTAATGTTTCCCAGTGATTTTTCTCTGTAATTTTTTTAATAACCTACAACTTGAGTGTTTCATACACATATACAAGAACGAACTGGTTGACTGTCATCTGAGATAGCAAAGGGGCTGGCACATTTTTGAATCTCCCCCAGTATTAAAAAAGAACTTCCCTATCAATGAAAACCTGTGACATATATTCTAGTCTGGACAGGGAGGCCAGGCCTTAAAGATAATCTATAATTGAATCATGGAATGTAGTTCTATATTCTGAATTATGTTTCTTCTTGAAAACTTTAATAGGCATGTTCACCGGTATGCTATGTTGTGCTGTGCTATGCTGTGTTCAGTGCTAGCTCATTCGATGCTGAATTTGTTACTCAGTAGGTAAGAGAACAAACAATTCCTGAAGTTAAACAGTGAAATATTGTCTAGCCCAGTGGTTCTTAACCTTTGTTACTCGGATGCTTTTGAACTGCAACTCCCAGAAACCCCAGCCAGCACAGTTGGTGGTGAAGGCTTCTGGGAGTTGCAGTCCAAAACTCCTGGTTAAGAACCAGTGGTCTAGCCTACTGTGTTCAAATATTTTGAGGAAAGAAAAATGGGCAGCATAGAGAAGAGGATGGTCGCAGTTATACATCTGAGGCATAATTTCGATGTTTCTCCTATTCTCTTTTTTTCCCCTCAGGATGGCCAGTCAGATATTTTGTACACATTTTGGACAGCGGTTACTCAGACACTCACCTCCCAGTTTCAGAAAGCAACTGACTGTAAGTGTTCAGTTAAGCATAACTTTTTATGATGTCTTTTGTAGCTTAGCTGAAAATATGTTAATTCTGTAAAACTCCAGATCCGTGCCAGCTCCTGCTGGATGATCTGGCTAACTGCAAAAGGAAGGAGGTGGCTGCTTTCCTTCTTCTGCCATCTAGCCTTCCACCTTGTGGAAACCAGGGTTTGTAGCTATTGGGGTCTTGCTTTTGTCAGACTTCCATTTAAAGGTGCAAGTCGTCTCCTGCATCAGATACCTGTCTGAAGGAAGTTGTGTTCTCCGTAAGCACATTAGTACCAATCGTGATACTTTGAAAAAATACATTGCAGTAAGTAGTGCCAATACTTTTTTTAACACAAAAATGATTTTCATTCAATCATGTGTTGTTTGTTCAGATAAACGTAAATCTTCTCTTGAAATATTGCCAGTAAAGATACATGCACATACATTTTTGGAATACCTGCTTCTGTTTATTCAGTTTATACAGCACTTCTTTAAATGTTTAGTTTAAGGCAGCTAAAAATAAAACAGCTGACAACAAAAAGTGAAAAAAGTAACCATTTAAATTTTTTAAAGAATTAAAAACAAATTATTAAGAAAAAAAGAGGAAAAAACATTCAGTGTGATAGAGCTATTTTTATTTCTAGACACCTTTTGGGAAAACCTGAGCCTCTGCCATACTAGAGACCCTCTTTACATTCTGAGTGCTTGACTAGGAAAGGCCCTTCTGAATAAAATATATGTTGTACGTTGTCCACTGTCAGGATAATGGGTGGTGGATTAGTCTCCTTTGGCAGGGAGTTCCAAAGCCTGGAAACAGTCACTGAGAAGCCATCTCTTGTGTCCCCACTAAAGGCAGTTGTGATGGTTACGGAATGAAGAGGCTGCCTTTGCTTAAGGAACATTGTTTGTGTATCCAGAATCAAAGATGATTGGTGGGGGGGGAGGAGGAACATTGGGGAGGTTGCAGTTATATGAAAGAAAGAATACCCAAGACCTGGACAGACAGAGACTGATGGGTCCAGTGTCCTTTGGCCATGATGTCTGCTTGCACAAGGTGGGGATCTAACGAACAAGAACGGGATAAAAATGTGACTGATAAATAAAACAGTGACCTGGGAAAGTATATATTTTTAGCATTGTTGCTATGATGATCTGCAGTTTAGTTAGTCACACAGCCTCAAAGGCTGACTGTAGATGTTTTTCAAATCAAAGGGAAGTGGATGCCACAGAGACAGTGCTGTTCTTTGAATGTATTAGGATTTTACCTTCATGCACTGAATAAATATACATCACTTGTAGAAGTATCTTTATAGCTTCTGCTGTCTAGTCACCCCTTGTAAAAGCTTGAGATTATTATTTTGTGTATAAATAGTTGTTGTGTAGTTGCTTAGAAACCAGGTGATCAGAAGACTGAGTGTCGTCGTTGAGCGCACACACATTGTGCACAGTTACTAAGAATAAGTGAATAATATGGAGCTGGAAAGGACCAAAAGAGAAGAAGTTGTGATGGAATCTCACAGGGCTTTTTACAACTGTTGTACTCCAGATGTGTATTGCATCAATGCTTTCCATGTGGGTAAACTGCATGTTATGACACATAAATATACACAGGATAGCTCAGTGGTTTAGGTCACTGGCTGTGGAGCCAGAGATTGGGAGTTTGATTCCTGACGGTGCCTCCTTGACTCGATGATCCATATGGTCCCTTCCAGCTCTGCAGTTCTAAGATTATGATGATGATATACTTCACGTCTCAGCCACTCTTGAAATAATTGGAATAGGGAGAAAATCTCCCACTTCATATTTCCACAGTTTGCTGGCACACAGAAGCTGTACTATCAGGAACAAATTCCAGCATAAAGGCGAGGAAGATTTTCTCTAGGAAAATGACACAGTGAGGAGACGTGGGGGAGAGAAAAAGAAATTAAACTCCTCTCTGTGGTTAAGAACAAATGGTGCCCCAAGAGATGGAAAGTGAGAATAGCTAGAAGGCAAGGTGTTGCTGAAGCACTTGTCTCTATCCTGTTTCCTCAACCTGGTGCCAGGGGAGGCAACAAGCATTCTTGAAGGGTCTGTGTGTGCCACATAATGGTTGTGAACATAATTCACTTTCATGGTGCATGGCACAGGAACACACCTGGGCATTTTGTGTGTGCACAGATACATTGAGTCTTAATAGTGGCATTTGAAAGCCTACAGACAGTGGCAGGAAAATCTACAGAACTTGGAGTGCTAAAGTAGGCTAGAAGAAGCATAAGCAAAAGCTTATGCTAAGTGAAAGATATCCGGGGGGTGGGGGTGGAAATTAGAGGGCAAAAAATCAAGAGGATCCATCACAGTACTTAAGAATGTACTGGGCATTTTTTTGACACTGTGACCATTGTAACAGAATTGCAAGGCTTGCTCAAAAAAGGATCCCTACTGTATGTTCTGGAATGGTTGCCTTCAACTTGAAAATACTGATGATGCAGAGTGCCACACTGTGGCAATGAAGACTGCACAAAGTTCCTTTGGTGGGTTAAAGGGAAGGAAAAACGGCTTACCTGTGCTCAGGTTTGAAGTACTGTTTTATTTTTCTCTTTGTTATCTCCCACTGCTAACATATAAGAATTGTTGCATCTCTTGCATTCTGAATGGGACATATGTTTGTTTGGAATGGCATGTTTTGTGTATGCATTTTTTTTAAAGAGGACAAGCCTAATCGAGTGTTTACCTGCATAAAATGAATCTAGAATTTTGGAGAGGGACACCCTCTCTTTCTCTTCACACCCTTTCCCCCAATTGTCACTAATGCCTGGTGCCGTTCACATGCACTGGGTAATAGCTCTAACCACCTCTGGCCAGCCCGGCCATTGTAGTCCAGATGTGACCCAACAAATCTGGAGGGTATTAGTTTAGGGGTAGCCAGTCTAAATTGTATTTGCTGATGTTAGTGAAAATAATTCATCTTAATAATATTGGTGATTATATAGCAAAATACTGTATCAGCTTTCAAATCAGGGATTTCCCCAGTTCACTCCCTCTGTCCCTGTTGAGAGCTCAAACCAGGGATCCAGTTTCTTCTAAATTTTAATCCTGCAGTAAAGTATCATCCAGATAGGCACTGTCAATGCAACATTAATTTAAGTACAGCATTTCCATACTCTGTAAATTTTAAATGTTAAGAATAGCTGATAATCACATAAACTTTTATAGTGTATTACAAGCAGTGTTCATTGTGCGTATATTTTGTCTTGCAGCTTCCATGTTTTTAAAGCAAGCCTTTGAAGGAGAATATCCTAAATTGTTGAGACTTTATAATGATTTGTGGAAACGTATACAACAATATAGTGATAATATTCAAAGAAATTTTATTACAAATGGAAATGCAGAACACTTCACAGAACTTCAGCAGATAGAAGATGATACACAGGATATATTCATGCAGAAAAAGCAGGATTATGAGTATGTGTATTGTATGTTTAATGACAGAGTAGAACATTCTAGACTCAAGAATTTGCCTTGAGGAATTAAAATTACATTGTTTGGTTCTACAAACTGGGGCATTTTTCTACATTGTGAAGTTACGGTTTTTGTGTGTGCCTTGCTGTGCAAGAAGCTCATTGGTTTTGGTCCATTGGCATGTTCTGGAAACTGTTCGTTCATTGAATTGAAGCAGATTAATGCTAAACATGTGTTTGAACTCCTGCCTGTGTGATCTGTTAGATACTTTGAACATGTGGCTTTGAATCAGTGTGCAGTTTCTGACATGCTCTGTTTATTCCAGGACATCTCAAACTCATAGTAAGCCTTTCCCAAGTGATATTTCTTTGAATCTGAATCTGTGTCTAAATATGCAAAAAGATATGCTTGCTCACCTGGCACTGTCATCTCTTGATTTTGGTGTAAGGGTAGACAAAACCAAGGATAAAAGTGGGAAAGTGAACTTACACAGGAACCACTGTGTCTCTTAGAGTCCCTAGAAAATAAATAAATAAAAAAACCCACTTACAGTGGTCCCACTGTTGTATTGCATTCTGTCCCCTTATCCATCAAATACACTAATTTGGAGAGCCAGGAGCCCTATTCAGTTGTGCATAATTCTGGGTAACTCACTACTGGAATAGAGGAGCACTCTGACCCCACCTTTTCTATTTCCAGTTTTGTCACACTCCTCCTACATGAGGAGAGTGACCACTCTAAAGGAGAGGTTCTCCAGTATCTGTACACGCTGTCCATGTGAGTCAGGAAAAGCAGGGTCCTGACTCACATGGGTTTTGCATATCCTTTGATTTAGGATGTGCTGGATGTCGATTTTAGAATCATTTGTTCTGTGTTGTTAATGGAACTGAACAATAACCATTTAGAAGGGGAGAGTTAATTTCTTGCTTCTACACGTATCTCACTGGGAGTAGCCAATGTGGTTTTGTAGATAGAGTGACAGACTAGGACTCAATTATACTACAAACATCTGGAGGGCGCTAGGCTGCCTATCTTTGATTTTGGGCCTTTGTCAATAGTCTTGCTCATTGTGGCCCTGAGTGTTTTCTACACTGGACTTTGCAGGGGGGGACTTTTTGTAATATATCAATAAATTACTCTTAAGAAATTACTTTTAAATGATTTGCATGCCTTAAAATTGCATGCCTTCTATTTCTGGAGGATTTCCAAATGCTTGAGTTTAGTCCAGAACCAGAAGGATTGATATATTTTGTTATTGTTTGAAGAAAGGAAACTTTTCTTTCTTAACCAATTTCCTCTACTCCTCAGTCCAGAAATAGCCCTGAAGGACTCCTTGCAACCTTATGAGGCTGCCTACTTGTCAAAGTCATTATCTCGACTCTTTGACCCCATCAACCTTGTCTTTCCCCCTGGAGGTCGCAATCCTCCTTCAAGCGATGAGTTAGACAGCATTATCAAGACCATTGCAAGGTAAATCTTTTTAATAAATCTCTGTACATAATGTGTAAAGTATCTTTTGCCCTTTTCCTATATTTTAATTTTGAAGCTGGAAGTTCTGTACTGATTAGAAAATGATTGATTCTTCGTTAATTGCAAAAGCAATTAGTAGTGAAAATAAATCAGGTCTCATCTCCTGCATTTGACTGTGCAGAATAGGAGAGGCTTTCCATAAACTACAGTCAAATAGAGAAATAGATGTGTGACTCCAAGTCAAACAGGATGAACCCAAGGGGACATATTGCTCCTTCTAAGCCCAGGACAGACAAAGTGTGGCCCACAGGCTTCATTGAGACTCGCAGGGGACGAAATGCAAACCCTTCAGCATTCACTCTTCATCTTTTTTAAAAAAAATTCAAAATGTCTCCATGGGAGGCAATTTTGCCATGTTTTGCCCCGAGCATCCTCAGGACACCCGCAAAAAAATGACCACTAGAGGGCCTTTTTCAGTTTAAAGAACCTGTTCTTTAAAGCAGTAGCCCCAACCTTTTTGACACCGTGGACCAGTTTGGGGGGGACGGGGACCGTGTGCGGGGGGGTGGGGCACTCTCACACTTGTGTGCATGTGCAAAGGGCCGGCGTGTGTGCGTGGGCCCTCACGCATGCGCAAAGGGATGGGGCACTCATGCGGCGCGCACACATGCTCGAGCACATGCGCAAAGGGCAGGGCACTTGCATGGCACACACACTCGCACGCCTGTGTGAAGGGGCTGTGCAGGGGGGAGGGGAGATCTGTCTCTGCGTCCAAATCCGGGCACAGACCAGCACCGGGCCGGGGGGGTTGTGGACCCCTGCTTTAAAGAACAGTATCTCTGGATCAGGCAGTAGGTAGGAGCAGATGCATCCTTCCGAAGTGTAGAGGTAGACAGGTGTAGCCCTCAAATGTCTGGAAGTTGCTCACCCTCTCCTAAACCCACCAGGCCACCACACTGCCAAATGTACCACCCACCCAGCCAGTTTCTTTAAAACAAAACATATGGAGAACATTTGCCTTATTATTGCATTGAATTGTGTTTCCAGAGATCTTCTAGAAGTGTGATTTGGCTAGAAAATAAGGCACATACTCTCCATGTGCCTTGCAAGAAAAACTATGCTCACTCCTTCCTTCCATGCCCCATTTGACTTCAGGATTTGGGGGACTCAGAGAGGGTGCAAGAAGGCCGTATTGTGCCCACCTGTGCACTGCATACTTGCTTGTACAGAAGAATATAGCTATGTGAATGGCACTTAGCTTTCTACAAAATTACAGAGCTTAAATCCATTATGCCTACTGTAATTTGCGTCAGAAATATGTATTAAAGATGATTTCCCCCTTTTCTGTGTGCTAAAATGTCAGGAATAATATTAGAAGTGAAATATCATTATTAGAAAGTAATTTCCATTATTTTTTATTTCTAGTGAACTGAATGTGGCTTCTGTAGATCCAAACCTAAGCTTGGCAGTATCAAAAAATGTGGCAAAGACTATACAGCTTTTTGGTGTGAAATCTGAGCAGCTTGTAAGTAATTCTTCACTGTTTAGTAATTTCCTTTTACAGTCTAAAAGGTGTTTCTGACTCCCATACATTTTTTTTCATAATAGCTGAACAGTTTGTATAGCTACAAGCTATAACTAATGTTATAGTTGAAATTATTTGGATAGTCACTCAAGTATTTTGCCTGGTAGTAGTATAATGAGGGTTGATCACTTCTGCAGCTAACACTTGGGTGATAACTAGGTTTCCATGAGTCTGCCATTAATGACATAAGCACCCTATGTTTTATTCCCCAAAATCTGTGCAGAAAAATTTACTGCATTGAGCACTGAAACCGAAAACAAAAACCAGAAAATATTCAGACAATTGTAGGAATGGTTTTATGCATGAGCCCATGAATGACCCAGTGGGGGAGGTGGGAGAGAAAGACAAAAGGAGAGAAGAATTGGTGGCAGAAAGAGAGAAGAGAGGTGACCACTCTAGGGCTGCCTTTTAACTCAACCCATCTCTGGCACATGGCCCTTGACAAATTACCCCAGAGATACCATATTGTTCCGTTTGTAAGACGACCCAATGTATAAGACGACCCCTCCTTTTCTAACGCCAAATTAGAAAATTTGATCCCTGCTTTTCCCTTCCTTTTGCTAAGCCACAGAACTCAGCAAAAGGAAGGGAAAATCAGGGATCAAAGAGCTCCCTTTGACCGCCGCTTTCCCCTGCTTTTTCTGAATCGCTGCTTCTCCTTTCCTTTTTGCTAAGCCCCGTGGCTTCGCAGAAGGCAGGGAAAAGTGGTGGTCAGTTTGACAGCCACTTTTCCCTGCCTTTTGTGAAGCCATGGAGCTTAGCAAAAGGAAGGGAAAAGTGGAAGGGGCGGTCAAAGGGCTTCAGTGGCGGAGGCAACAGCAGCAGGAAGCGATTGCCGCTGCCGCCCAATTGCAAGGAGACGATTGCTGGAGGGGGCGATTGGGCAGCGGTAGCAGCAGTCAGTGGGCAGCCGTGAGAGGCGGCCAACCTGGGCTGCTTCTTTGCCTCCTCCTCCTCCTCTGCCCTTCCGTGTATAAAACAACCCTATTTTTCCTCTAATTATTTTTGGAAGAAGTGTTGTTTTATACACGTAAAAATACAGTAAGTAGGACATGATAATTAACTAGTAGTGTAACAGCTGGCAACTGATGTTTGTGATGATAATCCCATGCTCCATGGAAAGTCCAAAAATGTAGCCGATTATGTTGTTCTGTGTGTCTGGTATGGGTACTTATATGGGCGTGTGCCTTGGGGGGGGACATTGATCTGTGGAAGAGACTGTTCAGCATCCGTGTAGCCTGGTGTGGCCTGGCTGAGAGAGAGAGAGAGAGAGAGATCACTATAATATTCCTTTTGCTTATCATTGATTCTGTTGAAAGCAATCCAGTGGTGCTTCTGGAGTAGAAAGATCAAGCAAATGGGTCCTTTGGCCAATTTTACAAGACAATAAATGTTCTTGATGAAAAGGCTGTTGTAGGATTTGAAGGAGAGGTTGACTTGCCATCTGGCATTGTTTGGGGGGCTAAGTAGTAAAGAGATATCCAGCTGCTTTCCTTGCTTCCATGTCTATTGAAGTTTTTGACTGCGCAGACCAGCTGCTCTTCCTGACCGATTTTTAACTTTGTGGCATTTGCAAAGCTGTCCAAAGGAAAGTACCTGACTTGACCATGAAATATTTTTAGTAGAAAATATAGGATGGCATGAAATGAACCTGTAAGTCTTCTCTATAATGTTGCAGATGTGTACAAAAAGGCAAACTATTTTAAATTCCAGGTCAGGAGAAAGTTGTCAGTGAACTGCAGAATCAGGTAGGGTGGCCTTATTTACTGAGGCCTGAGGCCTCAGTTACATGTTTCCTGTGTGATCCAGAGTCATCCGGAAGGTGGCATAGAGAGAAATGTGATTTCAAAGTGGCAGCTGATTTCAAAATAAAAACAAATGGTTTTGGGTTTACATCAGTTGATTCTGAGGGGTTAGCTGAGAGGAAATTTGAAGATTTCACAGCTCTTCTGATTCTTAATTGCCAGACATCTAGCACTGAAGGATGAAGCTGAGCTGTGTGTCTTCTGTGGGAACTCTGAACGCCTTGGGCTGGAGAGTTATACACCTTTTATGTTACCTGTTACTAGGATCCCAAAAGCCTTTAGACATGTTACAGTGTGTTCCGACAAAACAATATAGCAATGCCCTTTGCACTCCATTTACTGCAGGGACCATGTGTGGAACTTATTCCCTTAATTATGGAGACTATTGCCTAAAACTAGAATATTCAAAACAACTATCAGCTGGAAACTTTCTTTGAATTGTTTAGACAAATAAAAATAAGATCAAATTCCCCAGAACCCTTTTAGATATAAGAGGCTGCATATTTGAAGAACAACTCTTTTTTTCATACCTGGTCAGCATTTTAAGTATTGTACAAGATGTCTAGAGCAAACATTCTATATATATGTATAGTGCCTACTGAATAAAGAATTCTTTTTGTAAAATAATGGAATAATAAAACATGTTAATGTAGTAACTGCTTTTCAATTGAGGGAGACTGAAGGAGTTGTATAATAATAATTTAAATATGCCAGCATATAAAACAGTAACACAGTAAAAAAGCAAACCAAGTAATAAATTTAAAAACTAATCCTAAGATTTCACCCCATTCTGTTGTAGAAAGAATGTTTGTGATTTTGTGAGCCTTGGAACACCTAGTATGTCAAGAGGAAGATAGGTGTTGTTTTTTTAAAGTGTTTTTTTAAGGCCCAGAAATCCTACACTGAAATTTCTAAAGGAAGGGTAGGTTCAGTCCATGACTGAAGGTTTTTCTTGAAGAGATGAGGAGGTTTGGTCCTAACTGTAATCTCTTGAGATTTGTGAATACAGTGGATAGACAAAGTACACATTTTCTCAATAATAATATTATCCATCCATGCTCCAGTGATGCTGTTCAGAGATCTCCTGCTGTCGTAGTGCTAGGCCTAGCCTCATAGAAGCACTATGCAGAGAAAACAGTTGCCATTATAGTCATTAAAATTAATATTTCATCTCCAGAAGGTAGCAGATGCACTTTGTTATCTAGTCTTTAGTAGGTGTTATTTTGAGAAGTCTGCAGACAACAGTCTGTTCTTTTGGAAGGGTGTGGATAGCAGGCAATTTCTAACTTAAGGTATTTCAGGAAGAGGTGATTTGGGAAGGTTGATGTGAAGAAATGCCTGAAAAATCAGGTACTAATATGTCACCATCAGCAACAGACTGGAGTGTCAGATTTGATTTTATGCCTCAGCGTATGTTGATGTAGCACAGATTCTTTGCATTAGGCTAGAGGAAAATGTCTGTTGTAAATATTGCCGCACATTGTTGTTTGCCTTGTTTTAACAGTCCAGTTTAATTTCCCTCCTACCCCCTTATGTCACTCATAATATATTATATACTTTATATATGAAAGGACTTGTAGATGATTCCTCATTCTGCTAGTTTAGCATTATCTTTACAACAAGCAATCAGCAAGATGCTTCTAGCAGAACCTGATACTGAAAATTTCCCAAGTGAACTCATTTTCCAGCATCTGGTATGTGATTATTTATTTTAGTGATTAAATCTGCATTTCACCTTTCCAGTCCAGGCAATGTTCAAGGCAACTAATGCTACTAAACATAAGATAAAATCAAAATTATCATTCACAATATAAAAACAAATCAGTCAGAAAGGCATAAATAAAAAAGCAAAAAAGCGTTGTCCCCAGATGCCGTCATCTTCAGCAAACAGCTTACAAGCCCAAAGTCTTTCTGAATAAATACCTCTTTGCCTGCTGGCAGAAGGGACAACAAAGATGGATCTCGCCTGATCTCTCTTCACACGGGGCCACAGAGCATCTGAGCGTCCACCAAAGATGTCTTCTCTTGTGTGCAAATCCATGTGTGTGGTGGGGCAGAGGGAAAGGGCTTTTCCCAGAGATTTCAATGCTCAAGTAGACTTATGTGAGAAAACGCTGTAGACTGTTTTGTATATGGAAACTCCACTTGGCTGCCTTGTGATCTAACAAAGTAGCTCAGTGGTTTAGGTATCTGGCTTTGGAGGCTGAGATTGTGTGTTTGATTCTCCACTGTGCCTCTTCGACGGGAGCTGGACTTAGTGATCCGTCTCTTCCTTTCCAGCTCTGCAGTCCTAAGATTCTAGCAGTGGATAACATGACACCCCCCCACTTAACAAATTATATCTTGTGTATAATGGTGCACATATGCAAATAAATAGTTGATTTCAGCTTCACTTTTAGCTTTGCTGCTTTGAAATACATGCCTGACTTTTAACTGTATTTAGAATAGTAGACTCCTTTGCATTGTGGGAAGAAGGTACACAGAAGTGCCCTTTCTGTTTTGTCTGAGCAATTCATTATCATGGTAGCACCAGCAGCATTGCAATCAGCACATAGGTTTTCAAATTAAAAATTTAATGCTTACTCTACTTGTTATTTATGTGTCCTGATATATTATTTTCTTTGAGCACAGTTTCTTCTTGATCTGCTTTTAATTAAGCCTGTTGCTTTTTCTGAGTGTTCACACTTAATTAAGAACCCTGCCTTGTTTGTGACTTAGAAGCTTGTCAGAAATTAATCCTATCAACACCATGCTGCCTGTTTATTGAGTTTGGTAATACTACCTCTCTGGTATTCCTTGATACCGCCGCTTCAAATTTACATAGTGCTGAATCCTCCAGACTTTATCAGCATAACACATCTCTCCCTTTAAGAGATAAAGCACATCATGTTACATGAAGGCTGTATTGCTGTACCTACTTTGCTATACCTACTTAGGTAAAGGTAAAGGTTCCCCTTGACAATTTTTGTCCAGTGGTGTTCGACTCTAGGGGGCGATGCTCATCCCCGTTTCCAAGCCATAGAGCCAGCGTTTGTCCGAAGACATTCTTCTGTGGCCACATGGCCAGTGCGACTTAGACATGGAATGCTGTTACCTTCTCACCGAGGTGGTCCCTATTTATCTATTTGCATTTGC